TGAGCTGCAAAATTCCTGTATAGTGTTTTGAACAAGAAGATTATTAGCCTGGTGTTATAAATGCAAAAAGTAGTCCTGGGCTCATTCACTGCTCCTTTTACTCCATTTTCACACTGGTATAACCCACTGCAACAGCAGGGGCCTTAGCTTTGCAATACTCGCATTTTCTCTCTTGTCAGTGCAGTCTGAGCATCCAAATCACTTAGCCACAACAAAGCAACACTGAAGGCTAAGTTGAAGTGGACCTGGAAAGACAGAAGAACCTTATGTGTTTTGTTGTACTATAATTGCTTCACCGAGGGATGACAGAAAGACCACTGAAATGCAGGGCAACATGGGCTGAAGCCCAGCATTGTCTCAACTATACTGGGTACCTCACCAGTTGTAAAACACTTGCTGAGGCTTGAGGGGTTTTAAACACACGCAGACAGACTTTCTCAGCTTATCTGAAAGATGTTTTGTTATGCACAGACAGCTTTAGTTTGTGAAGAATTCCCTTTGATCAGTTGACTTGAACTTTATCAGATGTCCTCTATGAATGAGGTCTGTCTTGATGAAAAATCAGCAAAAACTTGAAGTATCCTGGGTACATTACACTGGGATGCTATTCACAGCCAATCTCTTTACTCATTTCAGTAATGGTCTTTTATTGATCATTGTAGGAACACGTTATTTAGAGCCATCAAACAGCCATCCTTCAGAGTTCTCAGTATCTCTGCAGCTGGAAGATAGGAAGTAACAAGTCTGGTGATTACCATCTCACCTAGAAAGGTAGGTTGCCTTTGGCCTCTTGGATCAAATTCATTTTCTCGTAGTCTGATGCCAACATAATCTCCCCTTAAAATAAGAAAATAACTGAATCACAACTGGTTCTAAGCAATGCAGTGCATAAGAAATGTAATAGATTACTCTAAAGCTAGTGCGAGACCAGGGTTAAATTTGCTATGATTCAGCACTAGGAATCTGCTCCAGGATTTCTCACAGACACCTCCTAAGTAGGAAAGCTGTTAGTTTTATGCATCACTGCTGATCTTAGCTTCTCTCAAACCACACTGCTGTCTTTCCCAAAGGCTCCAAAATGAAGGAAGAACTACAAATATGATTCAAAGTATTTAAAGCTTGGAGACTCACAGAAGGATTTCACTGTACAGCCAAGAGACTTAAAGAGATACTTCACAGGTGCTTGTTCTTCTCATTCAGAGGAGGCTTGATTCTGCAGTCTTTCCACAGACTACATATGACTGATCCATGAAAGCAGTCCTAGGGAAGATGGGCACAGGACTTGTATGGAATAGTGGGGACACTGCTTGCATCCCCTGAGAGTTGTCTTCTGCACCAAAGAGCCTGAGATACTGCTGCATGAACTAGGAGACTCCTTATAGCAGCTGCACTGGCTGCATGGTAAAGGAGGAACTCCTCAACTCTCTGGTCACACCCACTGACAGAGAGCAAGTTCTGGGCTGTGGTATCTCTACTGTCATGTATGCAGCCAGGTCTCACATTGCAGACTGCATGTAAGAAAATGAAGAGCATCTCAAAGGAAGTCTGTTGATACTTTACAGCAGGAGAAGACTAAGGCTTTCCAGTTGTCATCCAGCTAGGTGGTACAACCCTTTGCAATGAAAACAAGTCCATCTCAAATGTAACAAAGGCAGTTGTGGGCAATTGCTACTTACAGGAGTTTTTCAATCTCTTTCTGCAGGCATTTTCTTTCCATACTCTAGCTGTCACTGTAACATAAGCTCAATGGGATCTAGGAGAGAGAAAAATGCATCCTACCAAGTATCTCTGTCTGAGCAAATCTGAATTGCAGATAAAGAGTATGGGACTCTTGGAGACCCCCTATAAAAATCTTGCCAAAGCCACTTTCCAGGTAGGATTGCAACAGAAGCTAAGAAAAATCTAGTCAAGAAAGAGAAGACAACATGCACAGTACTGAAAATGAGGGTAAGGAGGGTCTATGAAGAGGACAGTCTGGAAGAGATGAGGTAACAACTGGTCTGACAGGATACAGCACAGAGAGCAGCCAGCACCTGGCCCACCGACTTATTGTAAAATCAAAGCACAGTCCTCTGCTCCATAATACACAAAGTAATGACACACCTAGTAAGTTCTCTGTGACTGGATATTGTCCCCCTATTCTCTCTCTCATATGTGTACAGAAGAAATCATGCACTACCTGTATCAACTCTTGGAATAGGCCTCAGGATCTGGATTTGGAGACTCTCTGACTTCAGATATCTATGAGGAGGAATTCCCTCTTGATGCTGCTGTTCCTTTCTTGCCTCTGCCACTCATTTTGTGTGCCAGGGAAATTAGGCTATGGCTTCATGCAGGACTGCAGCTTTCTCCTGTTGCTTAGAAACAATGCTGCTGAGCTGAGAGAAATTGAAAGAAAACAAAACACAAAGAGGTTAAACCTGCACCTTCAAGTTGGGTTATCAGTTTCAAGCTGGATGATCATTTTACACTTCTAGTCATTAAGTTTCACTGCTGAGTGGCTAGTTGGAAACATAGAAGACTTACTAATAAGGGAGGCAGAGACTATTCACTGGGTTTTCTGATCAATCTAATTGCTTGTAAAAGAAGCTATCAGCTTCCACTGTTCCAGCATTCCACTGTATGGAATGGTGAAAAACTACACCTGGTACCTCCTAAGAGCCCATCTGGGGTTCCATTTGCAGTGTTTATGGCATATAGCAAGGATCCTGCTACTTGTTTTTTCATCAATGTTATATTTTTGCTTACAGTATCAGGAGAGATTCTTAACAGCCAAGAAATCCCAACATGACTTACTAAATCCTGTTGTTGTCCTTCCAATGGATACAGGGCACTCCTTGCACAGGGTTGCTGATGGTAGCCAATGCATAATGATGACTAACAAGTCAGTGAGAGGCTACTGGATTTTGTACATTAGGAAGGTTTGCATGCTATAGTTCTGAATGGGATGAGCCATTCCCATCCTTGGGAATGTACTTCTCATATTATTTACTGATTACCTAGTAAACAATAGGAATGTGTTTATGAGACATGATCATAATGTTACCTCTCTTTGTGATGGCTTAAGAAAACATAAAGGCAAATGTATTATCATGAGACATACATGCTTTACAGGAAGAAGCCTACTTGGTATTTACAGAATTTATGCTGTGCTTTCTCTTCCTTACTTCATTTTGCCACTCTCTTTCCAAAGCCCAAGCTTTAGGTATGTGCCTAGGCAGATACAAGGGGTAAAGGTGATGGACATGGGTCTGGTTCTGCCACCTACTGTGTCTGCCATAGCAGTGGAAAGCCTGGTGGACAGCCACTGAGGGAGGATGAGTTGGGAAGTGGCCCCTCCTAGCAGCATTAGATTCTTATGGCCATTCTCATTAATTCTATGGCAAAAGGAGTACCAAGCTGAGCGCTTCCCCACCTTTCATTACAGCTGCAAGGCTTGTAATCAAGTTGTATTTGATTTTTGAGGGCATCCACCTCGCAGGCATCACGGCAACCCTTGGTCTCCAGTAGAGCTGCTACTTGTTCTCCTTTGAGAAACGTGTATCTACTGCCTGCCTTTCTTCCAGTTACACATACCAAGGGCTTATCTGGTATGGCTAGGTGAGTGTGAAAAGTGGCCTCCAAAAGCGAACATAGCCATACCAGGACTGACCCAAAGTCCTGCTAACCCAACCTGACTCCTATTATGTGGCAGGGGTGATACCTTGATGAAGAAAGTGACTTTCCAGAAATGAGGCTGGTCCCCAACCCTGCGGTGAACTGACCCCTGCAATTTCCCCAAAACCAAGAAATGTTTCTGTATTCTTGCAAGGCAGGGAGGGGAGGTGGCACTGTTTGTGCTCTTCTGGGGACAGCGGGAAGTAGCAGCCACTAGGGGATGCCTGGGGAAGGCATGGAAGACCTGGGCAGGCAAGCATCAAACTTTCTCAGCATATTTCCTCATTCTCCACTGATGTGCAGCTCAGGACTTCCTTGAGCAAAAAGTGTTGTCTTGGCAGTTAATAGCCCTTGCTTGTTTTTTACTTCCACAAACTTGTCCAATCACTTTTTGAAACTTTAGTAATTGACATCTGCCATATCACCTGGCAAATATTTCCACTGTTGAAAAAGGGCTGTGTGGGAAAGGGTCATTGGTTTTAAGCTGTACACTGTTAATTTAATTTGCTGACCAGTGTGCTTAGTAAACTTAGTAAGTTTAGGGCCCTCGAACTGTGGAATTTATCATGCATGGCGCACACAATACGTATTAGAGAAGGATACTTAAAGTCTTTTCCCCGCACCATAGAGCATTTAATGCCAGTCACGGGTTCCCCAGAGCAAGAAATAAAGCAACAGCCAGGTCTGTGTGTCTGCAGCATTGTCCTCTACTCCAGGTCTGATTTTCAGGGCTGTTGTGGAAGGTGTTTTGTCAACCTGCTACTTAATTAAGTTGGAAGTAATAATTTTATTTAATAATTCACATGATTTGACACCGATCAGCTAAGGTACTAAAAAATACCACATAAAACAGTAATAGGATTTAGGACTCTTGCAAAGCACTACCATTCTACCTGTGGCAGCAGGTTAGAAGTGTTTTTACCAGCTTTGTTTGTATTGCAAATACCCTCTGGTACCTCCACTGTAAATTGCTGCTCTTCAGACTATTTTGCTTTTTCCTTAGGTGTTACTTCCTTAAAATACTTAACACATCTGTACAGATCTGTCACTTCTGCACATGCAATGTCAAATTCTTGAAGACAAATTCAAAGGGGTCTGGAAAGCAATGCATTAACTTGGACTGAAATGTAAATTACTTAAGGAAAAAAATCCTTTTAATAGTCTGTAAAATGTCACTTTTCTGCAGGTGAAAGCTGTAAGTCAGGTGCTGAATTCTGCAGACGATCGAACCCTAACTTTGGGGTGAGATTCGTCCTTCAGAACAGTCCTCGGCTTTTCTGAGGCGTTTCAGGAGCGTTTTAGCTCTGCGTGCCCGGGACCAGCTGGCGGCAACAGCACCTCACGGGCTCGGTCTCAAAGCTAGACGCTTCCAGACAGAAGGGCGATGAGGCCACGGCGGCTGAGAAGGCGGCATGTCGGAGTTCCCTTCCCCTGTGAGGGCGGGGAGCTTCCCCTCAGTGCCGGGACGTGGCCCGAGGTGGCGGCGCAAAATGGCGGCGCGGCCTAGGCCCGAGCGCGGGGGTGCTGCGGG